TTAGAAAGGACGCAGTATGGTCCACATTCACTACAACACTTGGTGAACCCTATGCGATGTCTTCGTAATGGAATGTAGAACTGAATAAGCTTCTTTACATGGAAAATACAGTATGTCGAGGAGTTCCTACAAAGGTCAGGACGAAATGTGACTTGGTAGTTTAGCATATATTTGGCAATGTAATTTTGATCCAGTGAGTGGATTTAATCCTGAAAAGGCCGTTAAGTAAGGAAAACTGTCTTTTTAGTTTAGTTTATTGGGTTTAATAGGCATTACTTTTGTCTAAATCGGGAGTAGCCTGATATCGATATTAATATGCATTACGCTGTGGGCAAACCCCAAAATAATTAAAGATTCGAAACATAATTGGGACGTCGGAAATCTGTTGGAAATTACATGCAACTTAAGTAATAATTTTGTATAAAAGCTTGTCGGCCGTTTAAAAGCCGGCATCCTGACATAACTGAGGCATCTAGGGATTAAACGCGAGTTCCAGGAAGTGATCGCGAAGAAGGAGACACGATGACTGGACCAAGAGCTTTATTAGCCTGACGTTTCGTACTCTCTCTCTCTCTCGAAATCATCAGTGGAAAAGGGTGACAGGGGGCTGCAGAAGAAACACAGCATTCTCATTCCAGTGGTTCTGTCTCCTTCTTTGCCATTACACTGTGCGTTAATCAATCGTTTAACCCGGCTGGGGTGATATTTTTCATCGCAAATACTTTTGAAAAGTTCGCTTAACACATCATAGGACAGCACATCTACTGCCGCAGACCAAAATATTCGAACAGCCACTGAGAAAACTGCTTTTTCCCGTAATTATCGTATGCAAATAGGTCATGAAACTCAAAGACAAGTTACACTCAGATAATACTTTTGATGCCATTATCCACCGGATCGCATGTCGTAACGATTCGCATAAGTAGACTAACCAAACCACACAAAACTGGGATCGGACATATGTATGTAAGCACAATCTCTAAACTGATCGCAACCTTTAGCCCTGATAAGGACCTTGTTGACATTTCACCTACG